AGGAGGAGTGTAATGGGTGAAGGAGATTAGCATAAGAGGGAGGGGGAGGAATGGTAATGGGGTTGGAGCAGTGGTTGTGATCGTGACAGTGTTGCCGTTATTTTCTGGCTTAGCCTTTATAGGCTTTGTGGCAGGAAAATGTGCGTTCCTCAGTGGGCGTCAATGACCCGTTGTTGAAGTAACTTGATCGAGTTGGGAAGACGTGGAATCCAGCTGGGAGACGAGACAACAGTTCAGGTTCAGTGCTGAGACTCTTTTTCATGCTTTTTCTTATAGTTGCTTTTAAAATCGGGTATCGAATTGGCTTCCACACCTTCCTCAAGTCCGTTAAACTTATTTACCACTCTTAGACTGAATAGGTTCTCTCTGACATCAATGGGACTCATACACACACACACACACACACAATGAGCCACAGAGACATTTGAAAGAACTTTTTCAGTGTCAGAGTAGTTAGTAAATGGAATGCATTAGGAAGTGATGTGGTGGAGGCTGACTCCATACACAGTTTCAAATATAGATATGATAGAACTCGAGGAGATCAGGAATATGTGCACCAGTAGATTGACGGTTGAGAGGCGGGAACAAAGAGCCAGAGCTCAACCCCCGCAAGCACAACTGGGTGAGTACAGCTAGGTGAGTACACACACACACACACACACACACACACACACACACACACACACACACACACACACACACACACACACACACACACATACACACACACACACACACACACACGCACGCAGTCTGGTAGCTGAGCGGACAGCGCGCAGTACTCGTAATTCTGTGGCCCGGGATCGATTCCCGAACCAGGCAGAAATGAATAGGCAAAGTTTCTTTCACCCTGATGCCCCTGTTATCTAGCAGTAAAATGGGTACCTGGGAGTTAGACAGCTGTTACGGAGCTGCTTCCTGGGTGTGTGTGTGTGGAAAAAAATAGTTAGTAGTTAGTTGATTGATTGACAGTTCAGAGGCAGGCCGAAAGAGCAGTGTTCAACCCCCGCAAAAACAACTAGGTGAATACAACTAGGTGAATACATACACACACACACACACACAATACTATTATAAAACACCAACAAACCCTGGCAGTAACAAAGTTAACAATTAATGTTTGTTTTAAATGATGAGTGGAATATAACTTGATTTTTGTGCCAGTGTTATACATAGTGTAGGCGAGGTGATGCGTGGGAGAGTGTGTGTGTGTGTGTGGGAGTGTTTGGGGGCGAGACCGTGTGGGAGAGTGTGTGAGTGGAAGAGAGAGTGTGTGTTTGGGAAAAAATTGAATGTGGAGGAGATAGTGTGTGGCAGAGTGGGAGTGTCTAAATGTGAAAGTGAGGGAAAGTGTGTGTAGAAGAGTGTGTGGGGGGGGGTGTACGAGGATGGATGGTACCATGGGCGAGGAGGTACCTCTGATGGTACGGAGGGCACGAAGGGCTGACAGTGGGCGGAGGGCTGACAGTGGGCGGAGGGCTGACAGTGGGCGGAGGGCTGACAGTGGGCGGAGGGCTGACAGTGGTCGGAGGGCTGACAGTGGTCGGAGGGCTGACAGTGGTCGGAGGGCTGACAGTGGGCGGAGGGCTGACAGTGGGCGGAGGGCTGACAGTGGGCGGAGGGCTGACAGTGGTCGGAGGGCTGACAGTGGGCGGAGGGCTGACAGTGGTCGGAGGGGCTGACAGTGGTCGGAGGGCTGACAGTGGGCGGAGGGCTGACAGTGGGCGGAGGGCTGACAGTGGTCGGAGGGCTGACAGTGGGCGGAGGGCTGACAGTGGTCGGAGGGCTGACAGTGGTCGGAGGGCTGACAGTGGTCGGAGGGCTGACAGTGGTCGGAGGGCTGACAGTGGGCGGAGGGCTGACAGTGGGCGGAGGGCTGACAGTGGTCGGAGGGCTGACAGTGGGCGGAGGGCTGACAGTGGTCGGAGGGCTGACAGTGGTCGGAGGGCTGACAGTGGTCGGAGGGCTGACAGTGGTCGGAGGGCTGACAGTGGGCGGAGGGCTGACAGTGGGCGGAGGGCTGACAGTGGTCGGAGGGCTGACAGTGAGGGGAGAGAGCTGACAGTGTAGGAAGTCATTAGTGACCAGGTTGTGGCGCGCCCTGATAACGGCTGATGTATCACTACTGTCTCCCTGGCTAACACCAGGAGGGTGTGAGAGGGTGTGGGAGGGTGTGAGAGGGTGTGAGAGGGTGTGAGTGGGTGTGGGAGGGTGTAGGAGGGTGTGGGGCAGGCGTGTGCTGGGTGTAACAGCTGTGGGAGCAGTGTGAAAGGGTTTGGTGACAGCTCTACAAGGTGCAAAAGCGAATATAAGAGATGCATGAATGGTCAGCAAAGAGCGTGAGGAGTGGAGGTGCTGGCGGGAGGTGTGGAGGCGCAGGAGGGAGGTGTGGATGATGTGGGAGAGATGTGGGAACGGTGCAGGTGTGGGAGGGCTGTTTATGGAATTGAAGGTGTAGAAATAAAAAGGGTAGTATGGAGAGCAATGGTGGGAAGGTGTGTGGAGAGTAAGAAGGGTATGTGGGAGCAACGGGAGAGGAGGTGTGAGGATGATGCTGAGAGAGGGAGGGAAAGGGGCATGGAAGGAGTTCCGAAGATATGGAACAGGTGATGAGAGTGCGAAAGGGGGTGTGAAATATATGGAAAAGGAATTTAAAGAGTATGAGAGGGGGGGTGTTTATAGTATGCGAGTGTGTGTGAGGACAGTGTGAGAGGCTCTGTAGGGTGTGGGATGTGGTGTTCAGGTTCTTGAACCCTTGTGATTGTGGCATATTTACATTAGAGTCCGTGAATGGTGTCTGTCTCAACTTCTTCACTCCCTAGTTCATTCAATGTCTTCACCTCTGTCACCCCAGATGTTCTTCCTAACATCTCTGGCTCAGTCTGGTCCTTAGTCATCATCTATGTCTTTCAGTTTTCTGTCCATTTCTTTGAGTAAATCGTATATCGTGATCATGTGGCCTCAGTTTCTTTTCAGTTATGTGAGGGGGCTAGTTACTTAGCCTTTCCTTGCAACTCGCGCCTCACAGCTCTGGGACTACTCTGGTGGCATGCCACTGTACTGAACCAAGAATTGCATAATGAGTGATGGTGCGTGCGTGGGGCAGGTGTTGAGAAAAGACAAAAGTGAACACATTCTGGCTGGTATACATAATACTGTAAGAATTACCATCTGCTTACTCCCCCCCTGTTTTACAATCTCATGAATACATATGAATATCCTCTGTGTGATCTCTCCTCCCTGGTGGACGCCGCCTTGTGCTGGAGCTGCACGGATGTGTGAGGCTAGTGTTATGAGGCTAGTGTTATGAGGCTAGTGTTATGAGGCTAGTGTTATGAGGCTAGTGTTATGAGGCGTGGAGGTTGTGAGGTGGTAACGGAGGGGTTTAATCTAAGGGGGGGCATTCTGGAGGTTACGTTATGGTGTGGAAATATAAATTTGGCTCTGAGATTATGGAGTGGAGACGGGTGTTTTGAAGGGTGAACAGGGGTGTGAGGTTGTGTCAAGGACATTCGTAGGTGCTGAAGAAACACGTTTAGTAATAGGGCTCTCTAGAGCTCCTATGAAGAGTTAAGTTTCCCCAAGTTAGGTTTGGTTAAGAGGAAGGTCTGGACGAGTTGTGATTATAATTATAAGTGTTATAACTCGTTCAGAGTTTAATCCTAATAACCAAACCTAACTTTGGATACATGTGTTGTGGTGAGGTGTTCTACAGGTGGTTCTGGAGTGTTGCCAAATACAACCACTTGATGTACTCAAAAAATATTAATGTCGCAACGAGGTATGATCAGATTCACAAGCACGCAGATGGTTATATTCAGAGCATATCCCCTGGTGCACGCAACTTTGTCCTGATCCACACACACACACACACACACACACACACACACACACACACACACACACACACACACACACACACACACACACACACACACACACCACTTCAGTAATATATTCAAGACTCCGCCTATCTCGCCAGAGCCTTAAGTCGTCTCCATGAGAGAGAGAGAGAGAGAGAGAGAGAGAGAGAGAGAGAGAGAGAGAGAGAGAGAGAGAGAGAGAGAGAGAGAGAGAGAGAGAGAGAGAGAGAGGTTCTCGTGGAGTGGAAGGAGACAACGTCACCATGAAGCAGGGAAGAGAGGGAGATGGTCTAGAATATTGCAGTAGCAGAGGAAGGAGGTAGAGACAGTTGATGAAGAATGAAGAAGCAGGAACCGGAAAGGGGAAGACAGGACAAAGAAAGCATAAATGAGGATTATCAAAAAAAGTGTATTTAAGAGATACACGTGTATCTAAGTGTGAAGTGTATCTAAGTAACACAAAAAAGTGAATCTAAGATGTTTAATGAATTTGATTATGTATGTGATAATGTATAAACGTGGCAATGTGTGAGTGTGTCAGAGTATGAGCATAGCAATGTATGAGTATGACAGTATATGTATAGCAGTGTTGTAGGAGATTAATCCAGCCTGATCTATAAATGTAATTTGCAAAATTTGGAAAAAAAAAATACTTTAGTCTGGCCCTGAATATTTACAAGGCAAGATGAGCTTGAGTAGGCGTTTATCTAAGAGAGGGTGGGAGGAGGGAAGTATCGGGGGGGAAAGCGCCAAGCCATTACGACTATATAGCACTGGGAAGGGGTCAGGATAAGGATCTGGGATGGAACGGGGGGGAAGAAATGGTGCCCCCCCAACCACTTGGACGGTCGGGGATTGAACGTCTACCTTTATGAAGCGAGACCGTCGCTCTACCGTCCAGCCCAAGTGGTTGGGCTTAGCTGCGGACTTGACGGCAAGATGGCTCGGTGTGTGTGTGTGTGTGTGTGTGTGTGTGTGTGTGTGTGTGTGTGTGTGTGTGTGTGTGTGTGTGTGTGTGTGTGTGTGTGTGTGTGTGTGTGTGTGTGTGTGTGTGTGTGTGTGTGTGTATGTGTGTGTGTGTGTGTTCAAACAGTACGTGATCGCAGACTCATTAACATCTGGTTGTTTCTGCTTCAGGTTGATCGTGCTGGCGGCCATCTACGGTGCAGTGGGGACGCGGGAGGGCCCGGGAGCCTCCTGCTGGGCCGAGCTCAGGGAGCACGTCGTCGGCTACCTCGTCATCCTCTCCGGCTGCATTGTAGTGGAGTTCTGCATCGCCCACGTGGCCATGAAGGGCACCATCCTCGACCCTACCCCTCGGGCTTCCATGCAGTACCTCCTCTACGTCAGGCTGGGTGAGTATCCCTTAACTGTCACCAAGTCTCCGTGGTCTGGTCAGAGACCGGGCCGCGGGGACCTTGACCCCCGGAATCGTGCTGGATTTTGTGGGGGAGGGGCAGTCGCCTGAGCCCAGGTACGGGACCTTAGTTAGGTTATTCATCACAGTAGTTATTTAGGGCACCTGATAGCTGGGTGGACAGCGCTTCGGATTCGTAGTCCTGAGGTTCCGGGTTCGATCCCCGGTGGAGGCGGAGACATATGGGCAAAATGTTTATTTCACCCTGATGCCCCTGTTACCTAGCAGTAAATAGGTACCTGGGAGTTAGACAGCTGCTACGGGCTGCTTCCTGGAGGGTGGAGGCCTGGTCGAGGACCAGGCCGCGGGGACACTAAGCCCCGAAATCATCTCAAGATAACCTCAAGATCTGAAGATAACCGTATGCTACGCGTGTACCGTACCAAGTGTACTGTACCAAGTGTACCATACCAAGTGTACCGTACCAAGTGTACCATACCAAGTGTACCATACCAAGTGTACCGTACCAAGTGTACCATACCAAGTGTACCGTACCAAGTGTACCATACCAAGTGTACCGTACCAAGTGTACCGTACCAAGTGTACCATACCAAGTGTACCGTACAAAGTGCCTCTGTTGTTAAACGTGGCCGGAAAGCACCGCGAGGAAGTAATGGCTCTCCTTACCTCTGCTTTATTAGGCAGTTCCTAATCAACCAGTCCCCCCTTCAACTAACCTGTCGTGTTTTAATACTATGTAACCAACATCACAAATACAACCTCTTATGAGAAGTAACGGCTCACGTGTTCTATGTATCACACTCGATAGGTTAAGTGGGTTGCTTGGGTTCGTACGTTTCTGGTTAGAATAGGAGGTTGGATTTTATTACGGAGTGGCAGATCGAGAGAGTGTGCTGCCTGATTATCCTTCGTACACGCCGGAAGCCATCCTCTCTGAGTGCCCCCTCGCTGACAGCCGTTAAGGCTCACAGTTCCGGTTGCAAGATCTCAGTAAATAGTTCTGGTGGCCATCTCGTCCGTAGTAAATGATGCCACCGTAAACTGGACATCATCCCTATAAAAATATTCAGTCCCGTGGTGGCGTGTTGACGTTTCAGTGACACACACGCGATTTCAAGAGCACCAATTGTCGGAAAAGTTGTTTCCGTTGGTTGCACAAGTTGGCTCACACCACAATCCGTGTGATGGACGCTATACATCGGCGACGGAACGAAATGTTACATATTTTCGGAGTAAATCATTTCTGGGCACTTGTGTCGTATTCCAGTCACGCAGATCCAGATCTACACTGGGAAGAAAATACCATATTTTGCGTCGAGGATTCCCGCGTCCTCGGCATAGTTTTTGACCGGATTCTACCATGGGGCCTCCATATTCAATTTCTTGGGTCCTCGTGAGGGCTTCAACCAACACCTCCTAGGGGTGCTGATCCAGTCCGTCCTCTTACAAATTACGTCGCTTTTCGCCCATTTGCATTACGGTCAAAAATCGCCGTATTGAAATTTTCAAAAAAATCGAAATTAATTTTCCAAATGAAATGTACCCAAAGCAACAAGTTTTGGGTGCTCTAGTAGGTTAGGAGAGCAGGAAATTCTCCTAAGGTTTCAAAACGTAATGAAAACCGTTAATTTAAAGAATCCTCTCCTAACCTAACAGCCTAAGCCAGAGGACCCAAAACAGAAAACGGGACAGTACGTCACTTTCGCGAGCCACTTTCATTTTCTAGTACGACCATTTTTGGCCTTAGTGCGCATGCGAGTGAAAAGCGACGTAGTTAGTTAGAGGACGGGTTGACGAACCTCCTCGAGTCAGGCTTGGTGAGTCGTCTGATCCAGCCTGAGTCCTTCCCCTTGAGTCACGTCACTCAGCTAGGAGGCGCGGCTTGATCCAAGCTAGGCTGCCCACCCTGAGCACAAGGAGTTTCGTCTTTGTAATGCAAAGTTGTGCGAGTCGCGGCATTACTGCGAAAACATATCTGTATTCTGGGCTGAACAAGGGCTGGACTGGTCTTGTTAGTATGCATACCCCAGCAGTGCAGCAAAGGAACGTGGAGTGAGGAGGCGGGAGGCAAGCTTGCTTTGACTGTGGCAACACCTTGCACTAACACTCACTCGTCAGCTGTCACCACAGTTACAACTACCATGACAGCATCTATAAATTTGGAGAAAATACAAGAGGACTTCCGTGGAAGCTGGAAGCCCAACCGACTTTAAGAAACGTAAGGACATACTCGTAGCTTCTTCTCCTCCTCAACATTCAACATTTCCTTCTCCTTCTCCTCTACCGTCTCATCCAATAACATTGTACGGAAGAGCGCCGACCATGAGACAGTTTAAAGACGGATGCGTAGACTGTATTTAATGACTAGCAGAAGGCTGTCAACATTGTACTACACAGAAGACTCCCACAAACAGAAGTCTCTGGTGGAGGTAAACACCACCTCCGATGGGAGAGAAACATCACTGACAAGGAGAATATTAACACCTACTAACAAAGGGGGAGAGAAACAAGAGGGGAATTAACTCCCACTAACAAGGGGAGAGAAACACCACTAACATAGAGGAGATTACCTCCCACTAACAAGGGGAGAGAAACACCACTAACAAAGAGGAGATTACCTCCCACTAACAAGGGGAGAGAAACACCACTAACAAAGAGGAGATTACCTCCCACTAACAAGGGGAGAGAAACACCACTAACAAAGAGGAGATTACCTCCCACTAACAAGGGGAGAGAAACACCACTAACAAAGAGGAGATTACCTCCCACTAACAAGGGGAGAGAAACCCCGGCTAACATTGGGAGGCAAGTCGTCTCCCATTCCCACTTCTCCTCTGTCGCCACTGTCAACAATTTTTTATTTCCTGACTATGGTTTCTTGGACCATGAAGACGTGTGTGGGTGACACCAGGTGGTTCCCGGGCCCTCTCGACCCCCCTCTCAACCCCTCCTACACCTGCACCCCACCACTTCCCTCCCCCAGGCACCTCACACACTTGCCTCAACCCCAACTCCATCCTTCCCCTAGTCACTTCACACATCTGTCTGTTTTAACCCCCAAGTTCATTCTTCTCCAGTCACCCAACACACCTGAGTCCCGGGTATCATACAGGTAAGAACAGATACACTTCATAATGACCAATGTAAGTGTTTCCCCTGTGTGAGGCTGATGCCCACTTTCTATTTTCTATCATAAAAAACTGAAAATAAGTAACCCGTTATGGGCATTTGATCGGCTAGTTGTATGTGCCCTATAGTCATTCCCTGGTAGCCTGTCTTCAACCATAAAAAAGACAGGTCGAAATAATGATTTGACACATACTGTCGCCCGGAGTCATTGCTCAGCTGTTTTTTTTCCCCGAAAGGAGAAAAATAAGGTATAAAGACAAGGCTTAAATCTCAGCTATCTTATTTCTCCGTTAGCTGCCTTATGGAAGATACTGGCACCGTAGTGTCTTCACTGTTGCTCCTCTTACCCTGCCGTTCAGGAGTGAGACCGGACTCCCGTTTACCTGTCTTGTACTGTTGTTTGTTATTGGTTAGGCATTCCTGAGAGAGGAAGGTTGGTTGCGTCACAACAATCTGAATGGTGTTGTTTCCCCTTCTGACGCAAATCGAACATAGCTAAGGTTTGGGTTACATGATAATTGCATCGGATTAATTCAGACTCGGAGACTCAACACAGCACTGGTGGCTAGGGCTACACATACTATGCTCGCTGCCTGTCCTCAGGCTAGGCTCGCAAGCTCAGGCTGTGGTGGAATGGTCGACGTTTATGGAAATAATTGGACAATAATTGGACAATTTTCGCTATTTGTGCCATAATAAAGCTTCCGAATCACCCACGGTGACTGATTAGCAGAGATTTCAACAACTAATAAAAGAAATTGTATTTTTCCAGGAATGATGTTGATTTTTAAAGAAAACAAATAGTATTCAAACGAAAACGGGATTTAGAGATAGAAAATTAGGCTTGAAGTCCAACTAAAATCACATTTAAGAAAACTGAAAAAGATTGAGTTGATGAGACTAACTACTTAAGAAAGCAGTTGTAGAAAATGTTTAATTCATGAAGAGGTAAGATGTGGAAGAAGGATAGTGTCGACCAATAGGCGAGCAGGGAGTGGCAGCCAGAGGCAGCCAATCAGATGAGAGATGGTAACCAATCAGAGGCGTCCTCTGATCTTTTATAGAACCCGTGCTGACTGATGCCTCGTAAAACTTGGTCAAGTTTACAAACTGCAGAGTGGATGGTTCCTCGACCCGCTGCGCCATCACCACTAACGCTCTTCACAGCAATATCGGAAACCGATATTTTTTTCCTGTTTTTTGCGAAACTGCGATAAAACTTTTCTCAAGTGCCAGTGGAACTTTATTAAACCCACCACAGAAATGACGGCCTCTCTCTAATAATTACACAAATCTGACGGACGTATTAAAGCCAACAGAAGACCTCGGGGCTAGCCAAGTGTGAGTTGGTTATGCTTCTAAGTCTTTCCCCGTAAAATGGAGAGGACGGGGTGGAGGCCATAACGCTTGTCTAGCCAGGATGATCCCACACTAAAGTTACGAGATATTTATTCCAGGGGCGCGGGCTGTCCGGCGGTGGACAGCCCGCACAGCAAGAATGACGGACAGAACTGCAGGGGAATCAAGAAAGTTGCTGAGAAAGGGGGAGGAGGCTTCAGAACATTTTGTTTCAAAACACATTGTGTTAAAGATATAAATATTGAGCTGTGACGGCGTGCCTGGCATTGGGAATAACGGAAATGCAATACAGAGTTGTGTGGTGTTATTGTTGGGATGTGAGCCGTTGCCAGTCTCAGCGCTAGCACGTCTCATACGGTTCATTATTTGTATCTGATACAATTAATATAATTCGAACACGACGTCATTTGACTCCACAGGTGGTAACCTGTGCAAACGGTCCGGCACCATCTATAGGCCGTGATGGTGATGACCATGATGGTGATGATCATGATGTTGGAATGGGTCAGAGTGTAATGTAATTAGTGTGTTACATGTAGCGTGCATGTGTCAAGTAATATGAGCCCTCACACTCTCTCTCTCTCTCTCTCTCTCTCTCTCTCTCTCTCTCTCTCTCTCTCTCTCTCTCTCTCTCTCTCTCTCTCTCTCTCTCTCTCTCTCTCTCTCTCTCTCTCTCCCATCTACCAAAGCTTACAGCAATTTAATTGGTTCCTTTGATGTTGATTGACGATTATACCAAGACTGATTGGCTTCTATATAAAACCTGCCTGAAGTAAACATGTGAGAGTTGGTGGGTGTGGAGCGTCCCGACGCGGGCTGCCGCGCTTATTTCTAATACGTGAGCTTATTTTAGGCTTCGGGAGCTTGAGAGATAACACATGATCTATTCCTGACAAAATAATAATATATCATGCAGGCGGCCTACCACAACAACTCTACTGGTCACTTCCATGCTAGCTGTTAGTTAGGATATTACACTGACAAATATGCTAGAGCGAGTATACCAATAAGGGATGATTTTTTTTTAACTTTTATTATTAACATTCTTAGGTACAAGGGCATTTATGCAGCTACGCTAAAAGTATACATATTTTGTTCCATTTCTTTGTATCCCCATCACACAGGAAGGTTCGTCATACAGGGCCATGTGACCTGTTGTCTGCACTGGCGATATAGTTCTCAATTTGTTTTAACACATTTAGGTACATGTGCATTTGTGCAGCTGCCCTAGACTATATGAAAGGGAGAACAACGTGTCAAAAAGTGACGTGATGCTAAAATCTCCATCACACAGGATGGTTAGTCACACAGAGGCATATGATCAGTAGTCTGCACTAGCAGACTCTGGGTGCATTATGATGATATCCTCAAGACCACGAGAGCTAATAAAGTAATTACAAAGCTCCGGGTACCTCATGCCGACAGATCTAAATGGTCTAATAACTGGGCATCCAGTAATGTAGTGTGCGAGATCATTCCGTAGTTCCTGCTCACAGAGTTTGCACCTGGAGTGCTCATGATTGAGAGATCAGTCATCTGTAGTCACCTGCCACAGGTAACTCAACCTGATCCTGACAACCACTGTGTTGCACTGTCTGGTCGACGTTTTTGTGCTGCCCATAAACAAAGGTTTCAGATCTGAACAAATCATAGCTTTAAGATTTTGTTTATGAAAGTCTACGGTCTTGGGGCTCCTATTTACACTAATTTTTTATGTTTCGTTCAACTGAGTTATTACTGTCTATGTCAGTATCCTTGTCTAGCGCCCTGTCACCAAACAATGCCAAACAGCGTAACGATATCCAAATTCCACAGAATACTTGTCATTTTCATATTAATTAGATGTATATCGCATAGAAATCCCATTCGAAAGTATAACATTAACATGAAACAATAATCATCTCTGAACATGACACCTTCATGTCATCATCTCTGAACATGACACCTTCATCTCATCATCTCTGAACATGACACCTTCATCTCATCATCTCTGAACATGACACCTTCATGTCATCATCTCTGAACATGACACCTTCATGTCATCATCTCTGAACATAACACCTTCATCTCATCATCTCTGAACATGACACCTTCATCTCATCATCTCTGAACATAACACCTTCATGTCATCATCTCTGAACATGACACCTTCATGTCATCATCTCTGAATATGACACCTTCATGTCATCATCTCTGAACATGACACCTCCATGTCATCATCTTTTCTGTTTCCTCTTGTCCCAAGTCAACTGCTGGTAAGTATATTGGCGAATACTGTGCCTTACATTTAGAGATCAAAGTCCATAATCTAGAATAATGCTTCTAACAGTTTGTTCTTGATATTATTATTATTACAAGGCGACTAAAGCCAGCCAGAGTGCGTCATAACACAATCCCTGATAATTAAAGGAGATGTTTACATGGCAGTGTTTATAAGGAGTACGTGAGTGCTTTGATCAGGTACGATGGCCTGCCTTCTCCACTTGTAATTACGTCATGATGGACTCAGCTACTGTGGAGGACCAACTGTAGGCCGTGTAGGTAGGTGGCCACTAAAGAGATACCGGTATCTCGTTCTCTTGTAAATTACTACAAATACTAATACTATCATTACCTCTACTGACGTGGTGGTGTACCTCCCACAGCGGTGTTGCTGGCCGAGCTGGTGTGGGTGGTGCTGGGCGTGGTGTGGCTCAGCCAACACTACCAGACCTGTACCTCCAAGACGGCCAAGGACGCCATATTAGGTAAGTACATACGCCACGAACAGTCTTAGGCCGAGGATGCCATATTATGTAAGTCCGTACGCCATAGACGACACAACAGGGGGGTGAGGAACCTGTGGCCATAAGCCTGCATGTTGTCTTGGTAATCTGAATGCACACGATAGGTCTTTTGTTTTGGAGCTTTAACTATACGCGACTGTAATATAAAGCCCTCTTTTACAGCATATTAACATCCTGCTCTAGATAATGTTGTTGTATGAAGCCTTCGCTAAGTATAATATGGCCTTAGTTTAACAAAAGGTTCCCCCCACCCCCCCTGCGCCATAGCCTGCCTGAATATGCCTACGTACGTACATATTCAGGGACGCCAATATAATAGGTATGTGCATACGTCACGGACGCTATTAGGCACGTATGTATAGAAGGATATCATACGAGACACGTACGTGTGCATGTGGCACCGTAATATGTACGTAGTATTAGTTGTAATAGAAGTAGCAGCATCAGTAGTAATAGCAGTTGGACAAATGAATAATAGTAGAAGAATAAATAGTGGCAGTGATAATAACAGTAGTACTAGTTGCAATAGTATAATATGTAGCGAGCCAGGTGGCGCCTGTGGTGGCCACTAAGCACACTACACCTGCAGGGATCGTGGTGTGTAACTGGTGCGTGATGGTGTCTGTGGTGCTGACCGTGTGGTGCACCTTCGACGCCGCCGGCCGCAGCTGGGTCAAGATGAAGCGCTACCAGCGCTCAATGAGGGACTCACATACCAGGTTCCAATACCGACGCTCAGGCAACCGGAACAGGAACTGGAGACAGCGGTAAGTTGGTCTTGGTTCTTTGTATCTCTTCCAGAGTGTCTGGAAGTTTGTAAACAAGTGATATCCTGGAGAGCACTCGAACAAGTTTATGCCAGTAAAGCCGTACTACCTATTATTCTGCCTTTTAGTTACGTTTGTTTCTTAATTATGCATCGTATTACATACGATACTTGCTTTCATAGTACGTGCCTTAAATAACACAAGTAAATAGGAAATAAGTCGAGAAACGTAATCCGAATAGAAGAAATTATGTAGTTTTCAGCAATTTCCCCTCTTATTTTCCCGTCATCGGCACCGTTTTCTTTGGTGCTATATAAAGGTATTCTATTTCTGGCGAGGATTGAATTAATAAACTCTTCTGATACTTCCGCTCTTCCACACCTCCGCCAGTCTTGCTTCTCCACTCCCTACACCACTGTGACTAGCCCATGCAACTTGAGTCACAAATTTGCTTAGCTAGACGAACTGGAGTGCCTGAGCCCACTGTGTTACTGTCGCCCATCCGGCACTACCTTTTAATCGTGGCTGTAACTGTCCACCACCGCCCACTGGTTGGGTGTGATCCTATCCCTTACACCGCCTTCTGCTGGTGGGTGGGGTGGTAGCTCTTCCACTGCCAGACAACTGGTGGGTGGGGTGGTAGCTCTTCCACTGCCGGCATCTGGATAGGTGTGACTGTATCCCTCCCACCGCCACCCACGGGATAGGTATGACTTTAAACCTTCCATAACCCCCCAAGAGATGGGTGTGGAATGCATGATATATAAATAAGAACCAAATGAAAATATTTCAACGCCAATGTGAAGGAATGGTGCCCAACCACTTGGGCTGGACGGTAGAGCGACGGTCTCCCTTCGTGCAGGTCGGCGTTCAATCCCTAACCTTCCAAACGGTTGGGGCACCATTCCTTTCTCCCGTCCCATCCCAAATCCTTATCCTGATCCCTTCCCAGTGCTATATACTCATAATGGCTTGGCGCTTTCTCGTGATAGTTCCTTCCCTACCAACTATATAAATGTTATAGTATATATGGAAGGTTAACTAGGATTATTTTAGCTAACCTTCAAACACGAAAAGAAAGTTAGCTTTCAATAATGTAGATTAGTGTTAAAAATATGCTTTGTTTAGTTAATTTATCATGCACACCATACCCATCCTGTACGCCAACCACCCTGTACCCCACACCTACTCTGTACCCCACACCTACTCTGTACCCCATACCACTCTGGACCCAATACCCACCCTGTTGATAGGAGGGCACATTGTGGGCTGAGGAATTGAACCCAAATATTATTTTATGTAATCAGGCTACAGCACTGATAAATTAGTCACATAATGTATAATTATATTGAATGAATCATCCATATATTTAGTTTTAATTAATTTACTTACCATGGGGGGGAGGAGAATTAGGTTATTATCATAATAATAATAATTCATTAAGATTGACAAATTTGGTGTCGAATGTTTAAATATAAATTGTACACTAAAATCTTTAAAGAAAATTCAGCAAATTATGTAATTTCACGTACTCTACATATATTTATTCTCCGGCGCCTTTGGCACTATATTTGCATACCGTTATGTACTTATAGGTAGGAACATGTACTTACCGTGTGGTAAAATATGTGACAGAATATTCCTTCTCTCTCTCTCTCTCTCTCTCTCTCTCTCTCTCTCTCTCTCTCTCTCTCTCTCTCTCTCTCTCTCTCTCTCTCTCTCTCTCTCTCTCTCTCTCTCTGGTGTTAGGCTCTCATACATTGGACCGTATTTCCTTGGTAAAGTTTCAATCTCCTGGTTATTATATGTTGTTTATTGGCAATATATCCTTGGCTGCACCTCTACCCTCCCCCTCTCACCCTTCTCTCTCTCTCTCTCTCTCTCTCTCTCTCTCTCTCTCTCTCTCTCTCTCTCTCTCTCTCTCTCTCTCTCTCTCTCTCTCTCTCTCTCTCTCTCAAAAGAGGTATTAATATATGTATTATTGTTGTGTTGGACAGGAAGGTACTACGGGCCTACCAGGATAGTTGGGACCATCGGTGTCGGCTCCTCTTCTGCTGCATGGGCAAGTCCGACGACACTAGGGTAAGGCTTCCTTCCTACCTCACTCTCCAGGCGACGCTAGGGTAAGGCTTCCGTCCTTCCTACCTCACTATCTATCATCTAAATGGCTTGGTGTGTTCTCCTGGTAGTTCTCTTCACTTTCCTCGCTACCTCCCTCTTCAAACGACACTAGGGTAAGGCTTCTTCCCTTCCACCCGCTTCAAAAGACAGTAGGGTAAGGCTTCTTCGTCAGACGACACTAGGGTAAGGCTCCCTCTTCAGACGACACTAGGGTAAGGCTCCCTCCCTACCTCCTTCTTCAGACGACACTAGGGTAAGGCTTCTTCCCTTCCTCCCGCTTCAAAAGACAGCAGGGAGAGGCTCCTTCTTCAGACGACACTAAGGTAAGGCTTCCTCCCTACCTCCCTCTTCAGACGACACTAGGGTAAGGCTTCTTCCCTTCCTCCCGCTTCAAAAGACAGTAGGGAAAGGCTCCCTCTTCAGACGACACTAGGATAAGGCTCCCTACCTACCTCCCTCTTCAGACGACACTAGTGTAAAGCTCCCTCCCTGCCTTCCTGTCCAAACTATTTATTTATTTATTTATTTGTATTTATTTATATATATATACAAGAAGGTACATTGGGTTTGTGAGAATACATTGGATAGTACAGTATTTACATTCTTGTAAAGCCACTAGTACGCGCAGCGTTTCGGGCAGGTCCTTAATCTAGCAGATAATTTTAAGTAGGTAATTTCAATCAGAATTGATAAATGAAAGATAAGACTACACTAGAGTAAGGCTCCCTTTCATACTTCCCTCTTGCGAAGACTCTAAAGTAAGGCTCCCTCATTCCTTCTATACCTGTTAGTTGCCATTCCATCTAAATATCTCGTATATCCGCGACTTAGCACCATTTATGGTGCGGTTCGGGACAAATGTAAACATGCTCTAAAACTCCTCCCACGCCCTACATCACTGTACAATTAAATGTGGATAAAATCCAATATTTTAAAAATAAACTTTTACACAAATCACTTTACACTTCACACTTTCAATCAGGGTGAAATCACAAATTTCTTTCACCCTGATGCCCCTGTTACCTAACAGTAAATAGGTACCTGGGGGTTAGACAGCTGTTACGGGCTGCTTCCTATGGGTATGTGTGTGTTGGGGGGGGGGGGGGAAGTAGTTATTAGTAGTTAGTAACAGTTGGTATATTGACAGTTGAGAGGCGGGCCGAAAGAGCAGAGCTCAACTCCCGCAAGTGCTACATAGCCTTCCCGGCTGGGTGCCTTCTTTTGATAATTACTTACTCAACCCCCGCAAGTACAACTAGGATATAGTTGTGAATAGATGTAGATGAATAGTAAACCTCCTGGAAGAATGGCAAGCAGTTGGTATGGGACTACACGTGTGTATCAACCCTGGCTAACACCTACATTAACTTCAGTGTTGCACAACCGGGTGGCGCTGATATTCGCAGGGAATCAGCCAAATCCCGTAAGTACAGAGAACTGGATCACCACTACAATTTCGTCCCCATTGCTTCTGAGACACTCGGCACCTGCGGTAAGAGTGCCACCAGTTTTTTTAGGAACTGGGTTCTAGGCTAATTTAAACAACAAGAGACTCTAGAGCTTCCAGCTTCGCTTTCCAGCGCCTCAGCGTGGTGATACAGAGGGGAAATTGCACACTGCATTCAGGGTTCCTGCCCGCCATCTGTACCTTATATGTAACTCATTTCTTGTAACAAAGTTTAAATAATATATATATATATATATATATATATATATATATATATATATATATATATATATATATATATATATATATATATATATGTGTGTGTGTGTGTGTGTGTGTGTGTGTGTGTGTGTGTGTGTGTGTGTGTGTGTGTGTGTGTGTGTTAGTTTAACACAAATACAATTCTGCATTGCTCGTAAAGAACATAAATTGTGGTTTCCGAATCCATTAATTGTGCATGGGACTGTAACCAGTCAATCAATACCTTTATTCATGTTTTGAACATTCAAAATTGATTGTGTGTTGACCCTTCTGTAGAACCAGTCAAAAGAGAGAGAGAGAGAGAGAGAGAGAGAGAGAGAGAGAGAGAGAGAGAGAGAGAGAGAGAGAGAGAGAGAGAGAGAGAGAGAGAGAGAGAGAGAGAGAGAGAGAGAGAGAGAGAGAGAGAGAGAGAGAGAGAGAGAGAGAGAGAGCTAGATGGTGGACAGATGGTGGCCCACCCCCTCAGGCAAATTAAAAATATATATATATGTATATTTACAGTACTGAAAATGAATTATACTTTTGGCAGCCCTATTGTTGCCATGACACGTGCTTGTCAGCTTACCAATAATTCCCTCACAATGTTAAAACCCAAAACGCGGTCAATCTGAATGAACCTAATTACTGTACTCGTGTCAAATAGGTTCCGCGATGTCATAGTTGTTGTGTAGTTAATTGACATAGCATTGTGATGTGTGTATATATATAAAAGGGGTAAAATTAAAGATGGTTTAGCTACCCTGTGGTCGATGCCAGAGTCCACTTTCTATGACGTCGTGTTCGAAAGCGTCCGATCCAATTGTTCAGATTTTGTTGGGATTCCGGGTTAATTACGTGGGATTTTGGGGACTTGTATTATTATTATTATTGCTGTCACTGTGGAGATGTTGAAATGATAACTCTGGGACGGAAAAAGGAAGAGGTAAGCTATTGAAGGAATTTAATTTAGCTACCCTGTATTAGACGTCGAGTCTGTCTCTTGTCTGTCCCCCTGTTTATACCTGTGTCACGGTGTGTGTGGCTCTGTCTCGCACTGTTTACCTGTATATTCATCAGTGGCGTTATTCACCTGTGTTCATTAGTGTCGTTATTCACTTGTGTGTATTCGTCACTCATTGTCCGCCTGTTTATTCGTCACTGTCATTGTCCACCTGTTTATTCGTCACTGTCATTGTCCACCTGTTTAGTTGTTACTGTCATTGTCCACCTGTTTAGTCGTTACTGTCATTGTCCGCCTGTTTATTCGTCACTGTCATTGTCCACCTGTTTAGTTGTTACTGTCATTGTCCACCTGTTTAGTCGTTACTGTCATTGTCCACCTGTTTAGTCGTTACTGTCATTGTCCACCTGTTTAGTCGTTACTGTCATTGTCCACCTGTTTAGTCGTTACTGTCATTGTCCACCTGTTTAGTCGTTACTGTCATTGTCCACCTGTTTAGTTGTTACTGTCATTGTCCACCTGTTTAGTCGTTACTGTCATTGTCCACCTGTTTAGTCGTTACTGTCATTGTCCACCTGTTTAGTCGTTACTGTCATTGTCCACCTGTTTATTGGTTACTGTCATTGTCCGCCTGTTTATTCGTCACTGTCATTGTCCACCTATTTAGTTGTTACTGTCATTGTCCACCTGTTTAGTCGTTACTGTCATTGTCCACCTGTTTAGTCGTCACTGTCATTGTCCACCTGTTTAGTCGTCACTGTCATTGTCCACCTGTTTAGTCGTCACTGTCATTGTCCACCTGTTTATTGGTTACTGTCATTGTCCACCTGTTTATTCGTTACTGTCATTGTCCACCTGTTTATTCGTTACTGTCATTGTCCACCTGTTTAGTCGTTACTGTCATTGTCCACCTGTTTATTCGTCACTGTCATTGTCCACCTGTTTATTCGTCACTGTCATTGTCCACCTGTTTATTCGTCACTCATTGTCCACCCGTTTATTCGTTACTGTCATTGTCCACCTGTTTATTCGTTACTGTCATTGTCCACCTGTTTATTCGTCACTGTCATTGTCCACCTGTTTATTCGTCACTGTCATTGTCCACCTTTTTATTCATCACTCATTGTCCACCTTTTTATTCATCACTGTCACTATCCACCTGTCTATTCACTGTCACTGTCCACCTGTCTATTCATCACTGTCACTGTCCACCTGTCTATTCATCACTGTCACTGTCCACCTGTCTATTCATCACTGTCATTGTCCACCTGTCTTCTGTTCTCTCCCAATTCACCTATCACTGTCACTATTACTCACTGTAGATATTCATCTATCACAGACAGTTGACTCGTGTATTCATTTGCTGGACTTGAAGTGGGTACCTCACTCGATCAGTCACATTAAATTCAGCACTGGATGGGTGACTGCACAAGCTGTCTCGTCTTTGGCTAAGGGGTGGGAGGGGGGGGGGGTGGAGACCCTAATGTGCATAACATGCTTCCTGTCACTGACACTGGTAAACAACACTATAAGAGTTCACCATCTACGATATCTTCGTCTGCTCCATACTCGGCTAAGCAATATTCATTAGATTGGGTTGGGTTAGGTTAGGTTGAGCAAGGTTAAGTTTCCAAATCCGTTAGCGAATCGTCTTGTGTACGATGTGACTTGTATCCGTCTCACTACGGTTTACCATTTTCAGGGACAGGGAAGCCTGTTAGGGGTTATCAAGGTCCCCCCTCTCCCTAGGCCAGCTACTGACACCTGCCCCCCAGGATATAACCAAAACAAGTTGCTTAACTCCAAAGTAACTATTTACTGCTAGGTGATAGGTAGTACTGTACAGTCGGGTTCATTCTCGACTCACAATTGAGAATTGTCAGGTTCAAGTCCTGGGTGGGACAGAAATGTTTGGGCATTTTCCCTGTTCATCCAGCAGAAAATATTTACCCAGGAGTTAGTCAGCTTGTTATGGGTTGTATCCTGATAAACATCAGTAGTTCGACCTCGAAGAGTACCTTGAAATAAGCTAAATGAGTATGAAAAAAATATATATATATATATATATATATATATATATATATATATATATATATATATATATATATATATATATATATATATATATATATATATATATATATATATATATATATATATATATATATATATATATATAGTATATATATATATATATATATATATATATATATATATATATATATATATATATATATATATATATATATATATATATATATATATATATATATATATAGTATATATATATATGTCGTACCTAGTAGCCAGAACGCACTTCTCAGCCTACTATGCAAGGCCCAATTTGCCTAATAAGCCAAGTTTTCCTGAATTAATATATTTTCTCTAATTTTTTTCTTATGAAATGTTAAAGCTACCCATTTCATTATGTATGAGGTCAATTTTATTTTATTGGAGTTAAAATTAACGTAGATATATGGCCGAACCTAACCAACCCTACCTAACCTAACCTAATCTATCTTTATAGGTTAGGTTAGGTTAGGTAGCCAAAAAATTTAGGTTAGGTTAGGTTAGGTAGGTTAGGTTGTCGAAAAACAATTAATTCATGAAAACTTGGCTTATTAGGCAAATCGGGCCTTGCATAGTAGGCTGAGAAGTGAGTTCTGGCTACTAGGTACGACATATATATATATATATATATATATATATATATATATATATATATATATATATATATATATATATATATATATATATATATATATATATATATATATATATAATATATATAATACATATAATACATACATATACATTAGCTGCCTGCCCGTAAACACAATTAATTATTATTATAACGGAAAATAAAATTATTTCATAAAAATTGCTATAATATACATTTGTAAAAACAAAAATCCAACATTTTCCCAAAGTCTTTTAACCTATTAATAGATTTGTCTAAAATATAAAATTTTACATCAGTTTTGGCTTGGGTTCAGGTTGAATTACCAAGGGTTCGTTTCCTTTAATCCTTCACTGTTTTCTGTGTCACTTGTGAGAACTGACTTACCAGTAATTCATAGTAAAATGATAACTATATTTTATTTATAAAATATACAGTACATAGGAACGTATCACAGTGGTTACTTAGTAGAGACAGTAACTATACAGCATTATAAAAAGGCACTATTTACACACACATTTTGAACTTTACTTAACATTATTTAATTTTATTTTAAATTTAATGGGATAACAATGCAATCTATGCAGTAAGACGGCCAATGTATATGTGAATTTTTGAAGAACTTAATAAAATTATGTAAAACCACTGTAGAATTTGTAGCTTTAGCGACAATACTGAAGATATGGTATTGAATATTTAATTACAACAAACACAAATGGAGTTACTTTACTGTATTTTAGGATGAGGAAATGTGGAAACTTTATATTCTGGTAATATTATTCAGCATTTTTATTATGAAGACTAAACCTGATGTCTATTCTCAACAGAATTCTTTCAGTGATATTGCAAGATTGTTGAGTGAATTCTTCCGTGATCTGGATGTGGTGCCCTCAGATGTTGTGGCTGGCCTTGTCCTTCTCAGAAAGTATCAGAAACTCAATCGTGAAGAGATTGTCAAGAGCAGTAAAAATGATGTGTACGAGTTTCTGTCTGGCGTCCCAATCACCCCAAGGTGAGTGTACTGTTGTGAATTACATTCCTATAAGTGAATTGTGGCCTGTCTTAACCTACCATTACCATACAAGAGAGTGAGGGCAGCCAGGATTTACCATTTACCCTGTGAGAGTGCATTGGGTATCAGGTGTCACCATTTATATATTTTACCCGAATTTACTTGAGGGCCATCTCTAGTGGCCTCATCGGGGACAGGGAAGCCAACGGCAGCAGCTGTATAATACTGTATAGGTCCTAGGAGGGCAATGTACATAAATTATTGTTTAATATTCTTATATATATCTTATATGCTATATATTGAACAGCAATGTACACTCAATAATCCAGAATTATATGGGGCCCACCTCATTCGAATTAGCTCATTCACTCATTTTTATCTGGCAAGTCCAAAAATGAAAAAAATCAAATTTATTTGGTTTCCCATTCAGCAGAAATCTCAACTCGAGTTTTTATTTAAGTTGAAAAGTTGAAAATTCTAAATCAAATTTATTTGGATTATCCAAAGATTTCGGTTACTGGATTACCGAGCTCTTTCAGTAATTTGCTATGGTAACTTGCTTTTGGTGTGTTTATACATCATTTTTCTTTATGAGTACTACTCATCATTTGATATTAATTCTAGACATAGCCCTTGCTCATAAACAAGGTGTCAGTTGTTGCTTGCACCTGTTAATGCTTAAGTTTGAGAACGAAAACTTAATTGCATACCATTCTTCACTGGAGTACAATGTTGGTAATTGTTGTTTAAGTGCATTTAATTAATTTTGTATAAATAGTAACTACATTGGCAGCATTATCTCAACCCAGCTATGATACAGTGTACATAGACAATATTATACTAAACAGGTAATGAACTAATTTCACTGAAACTGTACATACAGAATAGTTAGTGACCAGAGGATAAAATTGTAAACATTTTCGAAAGCTTGCCCAGAGTTAGTGCCATGTTAGATATAAATGCTCTACTGTACTGTAACTTCATGCTCCTGTGATTACAACCCATTTGTTATCCACAGGACACGCTTCCTTCAGCTGTCTTCACTGGAGGGGAAGGAGGAGTTTGAGAAGATTGTGCACTATATGAGGTTTGCCCTGGCAATATATGGCTGGCCTATGTTTGTCGTGGCTAACTCCACCTTTGAGGCATGCAGGCTGTGTCCATTACTCCGGTAGGGGGATTTTGTTTTGTCATTCAATTTGGTGTTAATCAGTTGTAAACAATCTACCTTCTCTTCTAAATATTTTGATATATATTATTAGTGTGGTGTCAACCAGTACTTCTAATATTAGTTTAGGTACTACTTCAGATGTCCTTAATTAAGCAGCAATCTGCAAAAAGTATAACAGTCGAGGCAACAATGATGAATATTTTATTGTCTTAAGTATAAGCCATTAAATCTTTTTTGTGTGTACCCATACTTAACCTAATAAGCCTGTAAATAAAAGTACTTAGAAAACCTCAACAGATTAATTGTTATTAATCAATTGTATAATTGTTAATTAATTGTAAGATTAATGAAGGCGAGAGTGGCATAAAAGAAAAAATGAATGATGGCTGATTATTTCGGTCTTCAAGAGGAATATGCCATAGGAAATGAATTTAAAGGTACTACCAGTAAATGGAAAAGGGTCTCAATCTTCCACACTATGTTGTCATGTAGCTTCAGCAATGTTTATAATGTGAGGATGGGGGGTGGGGAAAGTGGAGTTAAATGTTTGTCAGATCTTTGCCTCCACACATAAGCAGGCACAGTGTGTACAAACCAGAAAATTCACTAATCTGGAAATCATATGATCCATTCCATTCTGGTACTGTACATGAATAATCTGTTTGAGACCTAACTTTAATATTAATCTGTTTAGGGACCTAATTTTACTTTGAATTGAAAATTGAAAATGACAGGAAATTTATATAAACCCAATTTCACATTTAAATTGTATCTTTAAGAATTGAAGGATAATTATCAACTTCCTGTTCTATGTTAATTTCACTGATCTATCTTTGACTGCTGTCCCATTGCAGCTGCTGGCAGTGCTGTTCTTCCCGTGAGGGAATGCCAGAGGTGGTGGAAGACAACTGTTGTGGGTGCAATGTTGCTGCTTTTATGAGAATGGCTCCTTCAGAAGGCTTGGACCTGGTCTACGTCACTTACCATGTTGATGTTGGGGAAACTCCTTTCTTTGTGGCTCTGGACCATCATCGCCGCACTATTGTTATTAGCATCCGTGGCACGTTATCTATGAAGGTTGGGGTCTTATCCAGGCTTGATGTGGCTGCTAATATCTTTTATTAACAATGGCTTTATCCTTTTTCTTTGTTTCCAACAATTATGGTTAATTTGTTTTCTTCTTGGCTAATATAGAAGTTTGCTTTACTGCTGCTTTAAATTACATTGTTGCAATTTATTGGATTAATGAATTGTTCTAATCCTCTTACGGGTTTATCTGTATCTATAAATATTTAATAAAAATTACAGAGCTAAATCAATTAGGCTCAGTACACTCATATTATCTCGTATCAACAATCTTTATAATCGGAAATTATACACAATTTCTCCTTTTCTGTGACAAATGTTTTATAGCATGGAAGACAATATTCAAACAAACTTGCATGCAGAAACTGTTAAGAACTGCACATGTTTTTATATATATACAGTTTATAATGAACTTGTTTCTTTAACAACTAAACTTTATGCCCGAAACGCTTTGCGTAATAGTGGCTTTAGGCATTGTATGTACTAGCTATACCTATAAGTTAAACAATCCTTGTAAATATTTATTGTATGTATGTACCTTACCTAAATAAAATTGTATTGTATTGTATTGTAAACGTATTTAGAATACATGTATTATCCTCTGTATTTCAGTAAAAAACAAGTTGTGCATTTTTAATGATCTCTTAATGCTTTTGCATGTTTTGGAATGGCTGTGTTTCCCTTGTTTTAAGATTTAATTTCATAGTGGAAAGGCTACTTTCAATTATGTTTTCCATCATGGACAAGAACCACATGTCCATAACCACATCTTTATCCATATTTCTGAAATTTATATTATTAATACATCATCTTCATATATTTCCACCGTTATGCATTTCCTCTTGCATGTAAAACCTGGTTTAGTTGGTACATCATCATCTTCATATAAATGTTTACATCTCTGTTTGTCTTACGTTTCATAAATAGTTTTAATAACAGCCTTTCTCTCTCCACCCCCAACACTAGCATACTGCAAAACACTTTAATACCCTCAGTAATGCCTTGCCTCACTCCTAGGATGTGATCACCGACCTTAACGCAGAGAGCGAGCCTCTACCCATGGATGCTATTAAAGAGGACTGGCTTGGACACAAGGTATGCATTATCGATTGCCATACTGTACTTTTGTTACTTAGGGTTTGTGCATCATGATAATGTGCTCTTTAAAATTCTTGTTGAAATAACATCAAGATTTATTAAAAGCTAATACTGTATAACCTAAATAATGAATATGAATTGAAGCAAGTTAATACAAACAAAACATGGAAATTTAATGTAACAGGTATAATTAATTAGTTTAAGTTTGGAGATAAATTTTTTTTTTTTTTTTTATTTTGTCACAGTATGATTTTAATTTTAGGAATGATTCAGAAATACTTTGAATATTTTATACTGCCTATGCTCTTTTTTTTTTTTTTGTAAAGAATGACTAACAGTTGTTGTTTGTTGTTTTAGATTCAGCTACTCGGAACGAAAGTTCCAAGTACAGTAACACATATTGTGAGCCCGTAGTGGACTTGACTTGAAATCAATATTTGTCTTATGTCTTCTAGGGTATGGTGTCTGCAGCAGAGTACATTCGTCGTAAACTTCGTGAAGATAATATCTTGACTCATGCATTTGGTTTTGATACGAGTCGTGGAACACAGATGTATGATATAGTGTTAGTGGGACATTCCTTAGGTGCTGGCACAGCAGCCATTCTTGCCATCCTCCTCAAGCAAGAACACCCAAACCTCAGCTGTTTTGCATACTCCCCACCTGGTGGACTTCTCAGGTGACAAATCCTAAAAAGTTATTTTTGTAAATGCACCAGGGATTAAGAGTTTTTAAGCGAACTATAGTGACTGTCATTGATTCATTTGGTGCAGAGAGCAAATTAGAGATGTTAATCTTTACCTCATGAATATGCATATTAATGGAGTATGCTTAAACCAAGCTTTGATTAACTAAAACCTAGTTATAAATTGCAGATTTATTGTAATATAAAAATGAGCAAAAAAATCAATGCTAAAAAGCATTAGTATATTACTGTGTTAATATATTTGCCAAAGCAAGATGTACATATGCAAGAGTATCCTTAGAAGTGACATTGGTAACTGTGTGTGCATGGACAAATGAGCCTCCAACTCCACCTGTTTTCACCTGTTTTATATGTACCCATCTTGGCTACAGTATTTCGTTATAGAAAAGAAGTACAAAGTGTATCATATAAAAACAATATATAAAGTTCTGTATATTGGCTTTACACAGGCACCCGATACATTATACTGTATAAACTATAAATATATATACAGTATATTATTTAATAGGATTTATGTGGAAAATTGTATGCACAAAATATCAATAAACATAAATCATATGTGCTAGCTCTGCCTTGTTAGGCTAACATTCTGGTATTGTATCTGGATACAAATAACTATAAAATGAACAGTTCATTAGTTTACAATGCTTGGCCTCAACTATTTCAGTTTTTAAAGATAATCCATGGTAGTACAGTACTAAAAAATTTTAATGTAAAAAGGAAGCAGGCTATTTCTTGTAAACTGAAACTTAACGTGGAAAAATGACAAGTTCGTATAGCTAACCCTTTCATTCTTTACAGCATGCCAGCAGTAGAATATACACGAGCTTTTATCACATCAGTCGTAGTGGGAAAGGATGTTGTTCCTCGAATTGGCCTTCATCAAATGGAATCTATGAGGGCAGACCTTATTAATGCCATCCAGCGATCCAAGGATCCTAAGGTGAGGCCACACATACATGATACATAAATATTTAATGTGATGTATAAATAGTATTAATGATTCCCAAAAAGTATAGAATAAGCCAGTTTGTAGTGTTGATTTCTTGTATATTTTATGACCGAGCTATAAAGTAATCTGGTTATTTAAGAGTAAAGCTTTGCATAATATACACAATCAGGCAAATTGGAGAGGAAGTGTACATTCCTGTATTTTTTTGTGTTTCATGGATACAGTACTTAATGATAAATTAACAAGTTTGTACTGTACTCTATATGAAAACTGAAGGGCACTGTACACCCAATCCTGTGAAGTAGTGAGTTGCTGCTGTGGATGTTTGCTAGTGTGTGTTTGTGCTTGCTTATTCATGTTTCTGTATTGTGTAAATGATTCAATGAACGAATGTTTCTATATTTTTAACACCTATATGGCTGAAACCTCTCGTTATACTGTTTTGTTTTTTAACTCCAGACTGATGCCTCCTCACCCCTATTAAATGTAGGAAATGATGCACTAATAATGACTATAATGTATTTATGATTAATAAATTGCAACACTGCCAACACAGCATTTTCATTATTATTTGTCAACCTGACATCAGTGGAAAACAATCAGCTCATCTGTAACGTGTTGTGGAGCTTGGGAGGACAGTGGCGAGGCAGAGGAGTTCAACACCACACGAGCAGCCATGAGGGATCATGCCTCTCATCCATCGGATGCATCTATTGCGCTCACCGTCCATCAACCATTGTATCCTCCAGGCCGTATCCTACACGTTGTTCGACATCACCCCGATAAGAGACAGTAAGTTGTGACCAATTCTTTGTTGGCTAAAAATGATTTTAATCATATTTATTTATTATATTTATTTATATGTATATACCAGAAGGTACATTGGGTTTATGAGAGTACATAGCATTGATGTTTTTACATTCTTGTAAAGCCACTAACATACACATCATTTCTGGCAGGTCCTTAACCACTGTACTGCCCAGAGTGCCCTAAGGCACTCAGAGTTGAGCTATTATTTTAACTAGGCTACATTTTAATGTTCTTTAATGTTTTCATCACTGTGTTTTGAAATGAAAATGGTTGAGTTTGGAAACATTTTGACATTAACTATACCTGAACATTTATAAAAACAACAAATATGTGCTTGACAATTGCACTATGAAGTTTTTGCCAAAACCAGGTGCACAGTGCAGTGGTTAATCTAACAGATAATTTTAAGTAGGTAATTTCTAGCAAAATAGAAAAAATGTTAACAGGTACATTGTAAGAAAATTTGACAAAGATTATTAGATACATTAAAGTAAAATTTGAGGGGTAATCAATAGGTACATTGTAGCATAATTTGAGGACTATTTCAAGGTATAATGCAGTAAATTATGCATTCAATATAACAACCATGATACACGTATAAGATGAGAGCAATGATTACAATGGTGAAGTTGTAAGGCTTAGGTACATATATTGGGGGATTGGGTAGCACTAGATACAGTGCGAGTTTAACACACTAGGTAGGAAACTATGAAGATGAAATTGGGAACTTTTTGGTTTTATATTTGAATAAGGCGAAAGTTGGACAGCTTTTCAATTTGTTAGGGAGTGCGTTTCATAGGCTAGGTCCCTTTTATTATTACATTTTGTGCCTGTATGCCATATTACAGTACTGTATATGCCTTTTTATTTTATATCAAAACATTTTTCTTTATGCAGTACTGTATTGTAATGCAACATAATATTCAGTAATGCTTCTAAAGTATCTTGTATTATGATTATAAAAAGTGTTTTTTAACTTTAAAGATAAAAATTTACTCATAATAGTAACAAAGGCTATTTTTGTTAAAAAGTTAAAAATATTGTAGCCTATTTTTCCTCATAAATTGAACAAATGTACTGTACACCAATTTATTTTTTATTTATTTATACTGCACTTAATTTCCCAAATTTTAGATATGAATACCTCATATATATATATATTAGTACCAGACTGGAAAAGTGTAATATTGAAGTTGCATGCCAAAATGAGTAGGTCTTGTCCTGTCATACAGTATGATAACTCAGTTTTATATTCACATGACTATTCTTGAACATGTCCTTACAGATTTATTGTCACACATACCTTTCATGGACATGATGACACCCCTTTTCCCCCATCTCTTGCCTTATATTTTATTCTTTAACCTTTTGCAGAGTTCTGTATTGCTCTGCTGTTCATATATTTATTTGATTTTGACATACTGTATTTCATAATAACTGTTGTATGTTTTATTTTCATCAACAACAACAACATTATTATTATTACCCTGGTTCCCATTTTCTTGGGGTGGGGAGGCATTAGCCAAGTATAAAACATCTAAGCTCCCATCTTAATTTGTGAACTGGCTTTTAGTTGCATAAGGATGACCGAACACAGGATTTTCTTCAAAAGTTATTAGCTGGATATATTTATATTACGTTTTAACAAAATTACGGCAGTTCTGGAAGCAATTTTGAGCAAACGAGGTGCTTTTTTTCATGTAAATCAGTGTAATAAACACAGAGATGTAAAAGAGGAAGGCAAATATATGAGCAGGCAGAAAAGATGGAAGAAATGAGACTGTAGCAAAATTTAAAGCATCTTGAGGAGTTTGAGAATAGCTTAATTAATGAATTTATACATACTTTAAGCATCTGTTTGCCAGCATTGTTTGGCAGGCACTATATATACAGTACTGTACATATTAGTAGTATTTTTAGTAAGCAAGTGATGTTCCTCTATTTTTGAGCCAAATCATCTAGGTTGCTCCTCAAGCTAGGGCTTGGTTCCTTCCCAGACACTATTCACATGCCAAGGGCTTAAATGTTTTGCTCTACCATAACATACAAATAACTGTAAATAACATACAAATGGTCTTGCATAAATAAAATGCTCAAAGACCCCCCCCCTGCAAGTGATTAATGGAACCCCAAAGAACACTATCACTCTACTAACTATGAATTAGCAACTACAGCTGCTCCAACCACCAACAAATAGCAGCACTAGCTACCACATCAGGGCTAGGGGGAACAACTAGCCCATATTTTTGTCTGAAATCCATTTGTTTGCACCCAGATATGCAGAGGCCAATTTAGTTATATTGATTGATTAATTGTTCGAGAGAGACTTCCATGGGGGTAGTGCTTTAGTATTTGCTTCATGCATGGTGCTCAGTTATTTGTGGGTCTGACTATAGTGTACCTATATGCTTCAGCTTAGTTTTGAGGGTTTCTTGTCAAAGAAAACCCCCCAAAACTGGTGGTGGTTGTCAAAGGCCTGTAGAACTCTTTGGCTTGGCCTTCAGCATGGTTTGGCTCCACTTGAGTTGTATTGAGTGTTGAGTTAAATGAAACGCTCATTTCTGAGCCTGTCCCTTGGTTGCTACTGTTCCTGCTTTTCTGCCTCAACTTCGCTGGGTCTTCAACAGCCCCCCATTTAAGACTGCCCCAGCCCTGTTGTGGTACCAAGTGCTGCCACCTAGTGGTTTTCAGAGTAGCTGATAGTTCCTAATCTGTAGTTGGCAGTGATAAGTTAGTGCTTGTCTTTGTTCCAATACTCTCTTTCAAGAGGGTGTTGAGTGGTTTGTTTCAATTTTTTGTAGGAAGTATTTGTTTGGTGGTGAACTGAAATAGATTCACTGTCTCCACTCCCGTAGCAATTCCATTCGCAAAGGTACTTTGCCACGACGAGGGAAAGATCAATTAGAGCCTGGCTAGGGAAGCAAGCGACTGGCTGGCTCGGAAAGGAGCATTTCATTCCACTCGATGCCTTATTTTTTTTCTTATACATGTTGCTCATATTTAAAAAAAAAAACATTTATAGTGGCTCTTAGAATTAGTTTTGTTTTTATATAATAGCTTGGAGGATGAATGTTGTTGCTTTATGTGATGGATTGGTTTCTTGTTGTAATGAAGCATTTTGAGATACAGTAGTGTATGTGTAGTACATATCACTGTGCTGTATATCAAATTACTAATCTTATTTTTATACAATTTATTCATATTGAAAATATGAATTCAGATTTATTCCTTGTAATATATGTTCAGCACCTGAGAATATCTTGGACATAGTTTCAACATACAGTACTGGTACAAAAAAGTCAATTCACAATATTCATGAGTAAATAGTGTATTGCATTAACAATGCCATCACACTTAGCAATGGATTTTCTCAATACCTCCATTTAATTTTGTCATGAAGCTAGACAAAACAGATCAAGTATATAATTTTGCTTCATTTTTGTTTTTATTTTTTTTCCTTGGGGCACATCAGGCAGAAATATGAGTCCAGGTGGAGGTAAGTTACAAGCTGTGAATGGGACGGTACAAATAGCATCCATTTTTGTCTTGTGTGATAAGACTTCAAGCACAGTGGAACATGTCTAAACCATTCAGTACATGCTTCTGAATTATTCAAATGTCTTTCCTTGTGTTACGTACACTAACTGTTGGTAATGTTGCACTCTGATTTTAATGCTTGGATAGAACTTGTATACTCGAGGTATTCTTCATTCTGAAGGTACACTATAGCAGGCCATAGGTGTATTAGTTCTCAAGTTAAATTTTCATGTTGATTTTTCCTTGGCATTAGATAGGAAGATTTGTCTCTGGGATTTATTTGACTTTATTTTGTGGAATAATTTGTTTAAAATGTAACCTTTTAGAATAATTTGGCAACTTAAAATTTGTGTAAATAACCCCAGGTAACTACACAATGTAGCCATTCTCAGACGACTTCTTACAGACATAGTTCATTAATGGTAATTCATGTGCAGGATGACATTGTTACCAGTTGTGTAGTGTCAATACTCTTATCTCGCTACTTAATTACATTTGGAAATTTTGTACTTAGGCCCACACACTCAAGAGGAGAAAATACCTTGGTCACTCCTTCAGAGTTCTTCACAGAATTTAGTCAATCTTGATAATGACATTGAATGTATGTCCTCAAAGAGCTTTACTCTTCATCAATAACTAGTTTTTAAAATTGTAAAGTTGAATGTTGGTGTAACTAATTTAAAAATGAAACTAACTTCTACCTTTTAAACCCATATGAATAAGAGTATCCCAATAGAGGGTTTGCCTGAGTGTGTGTTCAGATGAGGACAAATTAAATAAAGGAAGCAAGAAAAATGGGGAAAAGGAAAAACATGGGGTCATGATTTTGGAAAATATGGTTTTGCTGTAGTTTGTAATTTTGATGAAAGGTGTTGCAGTGTAATGTAACAAAAGAAAACAGCCATATTAATTAAAAAATACTTAGTACATTAGGAAATAACCATGATCAGTGATGCAGCATTACAGTAGTGTGTGCTAAAGAACTTTTAAATATTTTCTTTGTTTTCATAGTTTTCTCTAATAGTTATTTATATTATGTGGAAGTAACGATCAAGTGTAGAATATTTAGACACATGAAGCATTTGAGAAAATTATCACTAGCTTGACTTTCCACTGTCTTGAAAAGTCTACTTTCACTGCTTTTCTTTTCTTGACAGACTTGAGCATGATATCAAGTATATATATTTTGCATGCTCACTAAACTAATGTTCTTATACTTACTGATCATTTGTTTATCTTTTAAACATACCCACTGCTTCACTTCATCACCCTTAAAAATGGGTACGTCTTTTGGATTGTATTAGGTGCTGCACTCGGGCACAACACACTTGGATCAGTATACAGTATCATCAAGTTTTGCACTCGGTAGGGCAGAAACTAGATAATAAACTAAAGCAGTATAAAGAATTTCAATGTCACTATGATTGCCTATCTTCCCAGTACAGTTAAGTTGCTATACCATGCAGTGATATACTTCAGCAAAAATAAGTTTTCTTTGCAAATTTAATTTTTAATATTTTTACCTTGACCTCTACATCCTCGCTCAGCATTCACCAGAAATAAGCTTTGTCAGTGACCATATAGTCAGTGAATGCTTGAGCCTTGCACTTGCCATTAAGATTAAGTTGTGGATGGATTTTGTTGAAGTCCATGATGTTCTGAGCTGTCCTCTTTCCTTAAGGTAATTATCCATAGGATTATGAACAGCTAATTAGGATGACATATAGACTGATATCACAGGAAACTTTTGAAGCAGTCCCTGTATAATTGCAATTAGTGCACAGGGAGTCGCTGAAAAACATTGTCTAGCCCAGAATTATCAACAGCTCTTGAAAGGTTATCAAAGCCACTTTCATCCACAAGTTGAAGGCAAAATATGACTCGAAATTTAAGCCTCAAGTAATGCAATAAGCCTGCAAGGTATGAAAGGCTAGAAAGTGAGATATGAAAGACTTGCTCTCACTCTATAGTCACTGATAGGTAAGCACCAAAGGATTGTCTCCTTTTAAATTACCTGCATTAACATACTTTTTGACTAAATGGCAAGCAAGAACCAGGTTTTTGATTAAGTTTGACCTGGTTTCCTTGTTCTGTAGCTGCAAGTCTTATATTTAAAGTTTGGGCTCTCATTGCTGGGAACAGGAATCTCTTAGAATTATCAAAGTCTGTCTAAGCCAATGAGTTAGGCAACTCACAATCATAGTCTAACTCCTGAGAACCTATTTACTGCTGAATGAAGAGACATCAGATGGAAAAATAACTTTTGTCCTTCATGGGAATCAAACTTGGGGACCTTTTGGTTGAGAACAAACTCTGATGATTATGACTGAACTGCATTATTCAGGGGTTCAATGCCATTAGTGCACAGCATTAATTTAGCTGTGAGACCTTTTATTATTCATAGTTCTCTGAAATATCTGACAGATATGCTTGAGGTTCCCATATTCCATTGCTGTGTATCATAATATACTTTGGTTCTCTGTTTTTACTATGTGCTGGTTAGTGAAAGGATGGAGGGGGGTTCTGTACCTCCTTTGTCCTTTTGGAAGGGAGGGGGTTGCAGGGGTGTCCTGAGGGGTTTCTGGCATTTCCTTCCTATAGGTGGAAGGGGGGGATAATTTCATCTACAGAGGGATGAGGCAGTTGCTTTGGCAGCACACTTGTCAGTCATCTCTAGTATGAAGTTTGCCACAACTTTTCTGTTTGGTTCAGATGTGGACCAATCCTCTTCCTGGTCTATGATGATGTCAGTTAAAGGCGGCATTTGAGGAACCTGTATGGTTTCCTTTTGATTTTTCTGGGGTTCAGGAGCCCAGAGCAGAGAAAATTTTTCTTCATTATGGGGCTTTGTAACCTCCCCACATGCAGTATGTGATAGATAAATTCTTAGATGACAGCATATGTCAACCTGTACTGAATAAGGAATATTCTTGGGTTAAGATAGCTTACATCAAATGAAAAAATTCACTGTGCAGTACTGCAGTAATTTGTGGTAATTGTGTTCTGCTTTTAAATCCTTATATTTATAAAAAATTTACATTTCTCTGGCTATTATTACCCAATAATGAGAGAAATTTTATTACCTGAAAGCCATGAATTAGTAAAATTTTGGAGTATGTGGCTTGATCACCCATAAACATTCACAGTACTGTATACTTGAAATAATTAAAAGTTGCAACAATTTTCTAGATTTTTCTTGGCATACCCTATATTTTAAAATTTTCCTTGAATCCTGTTGGAGATAATTTTAAATTATGGGGAAACTTCTGTCCAAATTTCAGGAGTTGATATGAAAAATCGTAATTTTATCTAAAATTTGTTATGTCTAAAAATATATGGAATTGTTAAAATAATTTTCTCCATACTTAACATATTTCTCTCAATGTAAAGAAGAAACAATTTTTTTTAAAGATTGCACAAAATTGTACATATATGAGAGCTGAGAGAAATGTGTATACCAAGGGTTAAACCTTGTTTCCACTACACATACTAACCTGCTAGAGTTTACTCCACCACACCTATCATCACACACCACTAGTATGCCTGTGTTTACACCCCCAAACCCTTCTTTACACCCCCCAAAATTCTACTGTCCACTTGGGTTGGACAGTAGAGCAACGGTCTCACTTCATGCAGGTCGGCATTCAATCCCCGTCAAAGTAGTTGGTACCATTCCTTACCCCCGACCCATCTCAAATCCTAATCCTCATCCCTTCCCAAGTGCTATATAGTCATAATAGCTTGATGCTTTCTCCTGATAGTTCTCACTTCCCCAAACCCATCCACACAGTTCTTTAAAAGTTTGTCATCCCACCTTACCTGAGGTTCCTGAAGTTTTACTATAGTCAGCAAGGAGTTAGTGTTCAAACTGAACCTATCTCTACAACTGTAGACAGAACCTAGTCTACAGTTCTTCATGGCTGGAATGCAATGTTTTATTTTATCTTTATCACCCTTGCTGTTCTTTGATGATGGGGAGAAGTACAGTTGGTGCTCTTGGAAGTCTACAATAATTTTTTTTTTTTTTTTTTTTTTTAACACAGGTTTTTAGGCTGTAGACCATTGCTGTTGGTTCCATTCACAGGCAATGGACCAGAGGTTCGCTGTATCAAATTTTTGTTAAAGGTCGAAGTTTGAGATTGGGTTCGTCACCTACCCTAGTGTCTGCCTTCACAGCTGTTGCATCATTGCCCGAAATGTTCACGCCAATTGTTATTCTGCATTTTGAATTCCTTGCTACACCTTTATCTGCTGACAGGCAGTGTTTCCTTCCCACTTTTCTGTATTACCAACTGTAGCACAAGGTGTTTCAGTTGAAACCAATCCTTCTAATTCTAACTCTTGAGGTAAGGATTATCAGCCCTGGATATCTGAGGCTTCTGGATGGTTCTGTGTAAGTGCAGCTCCCAATCTCTGGAAAAAAAAAAGAGATCGATATGATGAATTATTAAAACGTTCAAAATCACAATAATTGAAAAAATTGAAAAGGAGGTATTTTTAAACTTACAACTTAAGGAACATAGGCCATAGATTAGAGCTAAAAATTCAATGGTGTCATTTTTAACGAATTCCCTCTTGTGAACACAGTTGTAGACAAATTGATGCCAAAACCATCAAAAGTTTCAAAATGTCATATGACAAAGATTAGAAGAAAGATGATACACTACTTATGAAGCCTGATAAACCAGGGGTGCATAGACTGTCAGCAGAGGAACACAAAGAACATTGTGCAAGGAGCATATGCTACGCTTTTAACTTCAGATTAAATTTGAGTTACATGGATAGTAGAATAATAAACTGTTCATGACTTCTGTGAGACCAAAATTGGAATGTACAGCAGTTGAATGGTGCCCATATCTCAAGAAGCACATCAGTAAACTGGAATAGGTGCAAAGACATGCAACTAAATGGCTTCTGGAACTGAAAAACCAAAAGCTGTTAGGAGAAGTTAGAAGTATTACATATGCCAAAATTAAAAATAGAAGAAAAAGAGGCAATATAATTACTATGTACAAAATAGTAATGCGAATCAACAAAATTGAAAAGGAAGAATTCCCGAGACCTGGAACCTCAAGAACAAGAGGTCATAGATTTAAGCTAACTAAACAAAGCTACCAAAGGAATACAAAAAAATTCACTTTCGCAAACAGAGTTTTAGACGGAACAAGTGAAGTGAAATGTTGGTGGAGGCCAAAATCATCAGTAGTTTCAAAGCATTACTGTAAATGATAATGCTTAGAAGATGAGACACATTTCTTTAAAAACCCACCAGTGTGTGTGTGAATTATTTTTCTCTAACTTTACCCTTTGGTGGTTACATGGGTTATTTTTCTGATGTCCCAGTCTCTGACCAGGTTTCTTGGTTCATGACTTGGTCAGCCAGAATGTTAGTAATTGCAGGTCTCAGTCTGACATAGGCACTGCAGCCTGGTTGATCCAGTATGCTTTATGGGTGTTTTTTAATTTTTATGTTAACATAATTAGGGGCCTGTTGACAATTTCCTATACATTTATCTGAATTTACCTGAAGGTGACTTGTTTCTATTTCAAGATGGGTTGTTGAAAAAACTTTTTTCCTTTAATGTTTATATATTTATTAGTGTTCTTTTCCCTATTTATCACTGGGGCTCTTTATGCACAGTCTGCCATGCCTCATGATCTCGTATAGAATTATTACAGTGTGTAGATTTGGATCCAGCCCCTCTTAATATTTTCCAATTGTAGTATACTATGTATCTTTCTTGCCTGTATTTTTTTGGAACATGATCGAACTTTTCATTCTCATTTTTCAGTAAGAATCTGCATCTGAAAATTATAATATATATTATGAAATCACTGATCTTTTTAAACTAACAAATATTTACTTGGGAGGTAAACACCAGTGAAAAAAGTCAAGTTTGTCATTTTATCAAAAAGGTAATTTTTATTTTGGTCTCGTGAATACAATACTGTATATTGGTGTATACGATTCGTCTTGAAATCGTCCGTGGCACATGTTCCAAATCTTGGTTTTATTTTCAGTTCATTCTTTTGTATTATAGTACATTAGAAAACAATTATACAGCACTGTATAATCCTTGGCATGAAGAGCTACAACTATCCTACAGTATATTTCTTTTCTTTTCTTTTTTCCCACTAAATATAAGGTATCAAAGCTTTCAGCCCTTGTAATTTTGGGTAAGAAGAACATTTTTTTTTTTTTTTTGTATTGCCACTCATCAGTACAAGAGTGTGTACGAATGTTCTTCTTGATTCTGCATACTTTTAGAAATTATGCAATTGTTAATATAGCCTTTTCAATATTATTTCAACCTTTATTTGAATTATTCGTGTTACGGGTGTTTATTAAATATTATATCACACAATGTTAATTTTTTAAATTTATCAAGAAACTGCCTTTTGTACAGTTGTTAGTACAGTATTTATATATTTTCATCCTGTATAATATATACAGTATATTTTACTTTTTTACTTTTTATATATTTTACTTTTTTCATTTTATTTCTTTTGAGTTCATTGAGTTAGTAATATCTAGGAATATATTACTGTAGTATTGTATACCAGGAAATTATGGCAAGCAGTAGTACCAAAGAACACTGAAAATGAAAGAGTGAATTTAAACAGATATGTTAGTGAATTAATCAGGAAAATAAAAAAACAGAAATACTTGAGCAGTTTCCAGTATTTCACTTAACATACTGTAAGTTGATAAAAGAACATAATGATAGATAATACATCTGATTGCATATATCTGATTGTAGCGTAGCATTTCTCATTAGTTAGTATGAATGTTTTCTTGTGCAGTATTTATATAATTTAGCCCAGGCTAAATTACTCCTACAGGTATTTTGTTTTATTGTTTGCCATCTTTTGGTCTCCACATCATATCTTCCTTCTTTTATCATTTGAATATTCTCCCAACCTGCTCGTTTTGTTCCGCACTCCTTTCCATCCCTTTAACAAAGCTGACCATGTTGTCTTCTGTAGACGGTGGCTGCGAAGGCCTCAGCCTGTGTACCAGGCAGTGTGGAGAGATAACGAGGACTTCGACGAGGTGCTCATTTCACCATGCATGATCCAAGACCACATGCCGGATAAGGTTCTCAAGTCTTTAGAGAAGGTAAATGTATGACCATTTTAAAAGAGTGAGATTTTAAATGGATAGTGAAAAAAAATATTTGGTTATTGAAGATTTATTTTTTTAAGAGGATGCTGTATTACAGTGCTGTACATGTTTATATTAATATAATCATGCAAATCCAGTATACTGTATAGGATAAAAGGATGGTTTTGAGGAGGTTACATTTTTTATTATTAATATTAAAAAGATTTAAGGTACCTCTTAAGATATATTGAATTCTAGTTGGTGTAAGTACTCATGACTCGAATAATGAAAGGATTTTGCATTTGTACAGAGAAAAAGACATTATAATACAGTACAGGTATATATGCTGCACATATTCTCAAGGGTCTGGAAGGACAAAATTTTAATACAAAAACTTGCACTTATGCTAGTTTTTGTGTGTCTTTTTAAAATGGCATTGTTGTAGAAGGGTTATTGGTGACTTTTGAAGCATGGCTTAACTGGATCCTGACAGTTTAACTTAAACTGGTGAGCAGTAGCTATCCTCACAGAGCAAATGTATGGGTGTAATCACAATGTGATCACAATGTAATTACAGAACTGTACTGTAAAATCTGTGGCTGTAAGGGATATATGGATTCAATATCTGCGGATGTGATATAAATACTTGTACTGTAATGTGATCAAGATGAATGCAAAGATGATTGCAAGTTCATAGGTTAGTTTGAAATTAGAAAATTAATGTGTGTGTTTGTGTGTGTGTAATATATATAAAATATAATATACAAGGGGTGACTTTTTTTTATATAAATTTTAACAACATAATAAATACAACATTGAAGATGTTGCTCATAGAGTGGTGGTACAGTGGTACAGCACTCGGCTTTGCATCACGCGGGCGGAGGTTCTAGCCCCAACAAGGACATTTGCAATTTTCAGGTATTGTATATCTAATCACATATATATACTGTATGCTACATGTACCACTGGTGTGGCACAGTGGACGAGTGACTCTGGACAACCTCACCTCTGGGTTTGGACACCTTGACGTGCATAACAGGCTTTGCGGCACTGACAACAGTTTTAAAATACTCTACAGCATACTGTACAGTACAGCTGTACTGGTACTTACTAATCTACAATACTTTAGATTTTGTTTTATTATTTTTCGTGGAATAAATTTGCCTATGAGTTTCCTAGTCAAACATAAATATAACAGATTTGTAATTTTGCAGTTAAATATTTACAGTGTTTGAATGTTTGCCATGTACTGTATTAGAATTTTTTGTATTGTATTTAATTTGTCATTTCCACTAGTTGCAGTGCCGAAAGAAAAGAAAATTGTTCTTTTAAAGAATGAGTATTGTAACATGTTTGGGATTGATGGTAACGGTGAGAAAAATGTGTTTTAGAAGCAGTGACTAAATTTGAATATGGGACTAAGATTAATCTTAGCCTATATAGGACTAAGATTAACTTCCAAGTGGCAAGTTTAACAACGATACCTTCAGTTAAATCATAGAATAAAAATCTTGGTAATTTAATGTCATTGTAGATGTATTTTGGTAGCTTAGGGAAAGCTACCATTTTATTAGAAAAGGGTAAACCAAGCAAAAAATATACATTCTAAATATCAGATCTCCTTATCCCTCCATCCATGTAATTTTTCACTCATTTATGTAAATGTATTGAAATATACAGTATTGGAAATCATGAACATGTTGTACTGTAACTGCATGATGAAAGTAAGTGAAGGTACAGAGCTGCGGGTAAAAGGAAGATGCCTATTCATAATTTACCTTTCTTTATCTTTATACAAATTACATGCAGTACAACATATACTATAGAGAAAATGCCTTTAGGTGTGTAGGCATTTACAAGTGTATGATGTACAGTGCTAGCCAAAAGCAAAGCATGATGTACAGTTTTTAGTACATGAGTGCATAATTTTATGGCTGCTAGTACAGAAGTGCATGATGAGCAGGGGTAACTAGTACAAGAGTGCATGATGCCCACAGTAATTAGTACAAGTGTGCATGATACATAATGTTGCTAGCTCAAGAGTGCATGATGTAGAAGGCTATTAGTATGGGTGTGCATGGTTATAGGGTTGCTAGTAAGAGTGCATTATACGTGATAAAGTACTGGTAATGCCAAAGAGTGAGCGACTTGCAGTTTGATGGGTGGTACACTGTGTTGGGCTCTGGTTTACAAATAAGCAAAATATATATACAGTTCTGTATATATAATATAAATATTTTTTACCCTAATTGCTTGCTTCTATTTTTCTAAGGTGCTATATTTTTGTAGATGCTTGTCACATTCACTATGTCACAATTTCACATGTTTTATGGGTGAAATATAGATTACTCAATATTTTCTCCTTCATTTTTGGGAGGGCCCCTCTCAGTTGCTGCCCGAGCTTAGTGCTGGTTTAGTCAAGCCTTAGGTATATGAATTAGGCCTCAAGTGCCTTGGGTATATGAACTAGACCTCAAGTGCCTTGGGTATATGAACTAGACCTCAAGTGCCTTGGGTATATGAACTAGACCTCAAGTGTCTTGGGTATATGAACTAGACCTCAAGTGCCTTGGGTATATGAACTAGACCTCAAGTGCCTTGGGTATATGAACTAGACCTCAAGTGCCTTGGGTATATGACCTAGACCTCAAGAGCCTTGGGTATATAAACTAGACCTCAAGTGCCTTGGGTATATAAACTAGACCTCAAGTACCTTGGGTATATGAACTAGACCTCAAGTGCCTTGGATATATGAACTAGATCTCAAGTGCCTTGGGTATATGAACTAGATCTCAAGTGCCTTGGGTATATGAACTAGATCTCAAGTGCCTTGGATATATGAACTAGATCTCAAGAGATCTACTCTTGCATAATGGGACCCAGGACCAGAGGTGAGGAGAGCTTGGAAAATAAGAGATTAATCAGAAACTTAGAAAAATACCACTAGTAAGTGTACTGTAAGTGCAACAATACAAGCCACCACTCGATGAAAATTATGTACCAAGGGCAACAAAACAAAGGATTGTTACCATAGTGTAAAAACCATAATTGTGATGTATCTGATCGGCCCGCGCAGGAATATCCCTGCAAAAAAAAAAAACTCCAGGTGGCAGCCTAGGTTAACTGGTGTCCCATTCTCTTCTTCCACCCCTCCTTTCCTCACTCACTTGGGCACAGCTTTAGGGGCATGGTAACTGTAACAGGGGCACAGCCTCAGGGACATGGTAACTGTAACAAGGGAACAGCCTCAGGGCCATGGTAACTGTAACAGGGGTACAGCCTCAGGGGCATAGTAACTGTAACCAAGTCTGTGGTCTTGGTCATCCATGGAATATTTTTTCCCTCAGTGACCATTTCTTTGTATTGTTTCACTTCTTCCTAAATGTGTTTTGTCACCAGCGTTCTATGATCCCTAGTGTTATATTTCTAGCTGTATGTTGTCTAACATACTACGAGCACTCCTTGTGTGTGTGAGCAGATTTGCACTTTTACCGAGGATGCACTTGGATTGCACAAGTGATTATTCTTTTCCATGGGTGCCTGCATTTTTTTCTCACTTGTGATTATGGCTGGGGTGATTATGGCTGGGGTTCAGGGTCTGTTCAGATGAGATGCTCTCCTAGCACCTCGCATGCCTACCCGTCTGCTTGACAGCATGGGTAACTGGTCTCCCTCATTTGTCAAGTCTTGTTGTTAAATTATGTGGGAGAATTATTATTCCTTATTTAAGGGTCAAGAGTAATAAAGTTAGAGGAAAATGAAGTTGTAATGTAGACTTAAACTGTCTAGCAGAAACTTAAAAATATGATGATTAGACATCATGCATTCTTTATCCTTTTTAGAGAAACATTCATACTGTGTAAAGCCAATTACCTCTTACTGTATATTTAAATACTATATTAAACCAACAAATCTCTATTCAGCTCAAGAACTATGGGCAGAAGTAATAATAATAATAGTAATAATAATAAAAATCCCTAAAAAATCAAACTACTGTGATGTATATATAAAGGAGAAAATCAATTGGGTCAATGAGGTGACTCGAACCAGTGATCAAGGTACTCCCATCCACGCAACTTGGACTAGCTTCTACTAAAGCCTCCAGACTTCCTGTGAATTCAGTGGATCTCAGGGTGTATAAATTTTACCATGTCGTGGTACAGAGGTAAGGTGTGAGGTTGGGAGTACCTTGATCGCTGGTTCAGGTCGCCTCAGTGCCCCAATTGATTTTCTCAATAATAATAATAATAAAATAATATTATTATTATTATTTTATTCATACAATGTACAATACACTGGACATGTTAAAGTGATTACACTTTAGGTAAAGGACATGATAGTGTGTGAACAGTTGTGTGCTCAATATAAGAAAAATTATTGGGCATTCAAGCTTGACATTGAAGGTACAGATTATGTAACTGTGTAAAATGGTAAAAGAAGCAAGTTTCTTAATTCATTATACTATATTCTTAGTTAATTAAGTCATATCCCGAAGATATAGGTTCATTAGAGTTAGACTTTAAAATTAGTTTGGAAAATAGCTCTGCAAGTTAAAGGGAGAAATGCTATACTTTCCAGATTTAGTGATAAGTCATGTTGTAATATAATTAATAAATCTGTGTATATTATGAAAATTTTGTCAATGAATTATATCATAATCTTAAAGAATCTCTTATGAAAAATAAAATATGAAGAACAAAACTGAAAATGTTAAAACTTACTGTTATTCTTAAAATACGGATAATAATACGAGAGATTAGTTTTACAAGCCGTTTGATAATTGTGTGTGAAATAGTCATAATTTCTCATAATGACAACATCAATGTCACACTTCTGTTCAGTACTTCATAATCTAACATTCCTTGCTGAAGCCTGCACAATTCATGATTTGTCAATTGAAACATTTCCTATACAGTATTCAGCTTCCAGTAAGAATGGTGAATAAGAAACTTGACGTGTGTTGTAAATTTGCTGAATTATTGTGTGAGAGGAGTACTTGTTAGCATAATGAAAGG